CACATAAAAAAGCAGAGTTTGGCTGCATCTTGATTTTTTTCCCAGGCATACAGATGAATGATTGTAGAATTGAAAAAACAAATGTAAAAAGCTAAATTAAACTAAAATTTATATCTTTATAATCTGACCCAAATTTCCTTTGGAAACCAATAAACCCCATTAGACATTTGGGGTGGACTAATAAGAACATGCTTCCCTTTCTGCAGAGTTATGTAGCACCAATGAACTCCACAGAAATTAAATAAGAGATTGTGCCATACCATTTGTATGCCTGGTGGTTTCTGCTCCCCTGCAGAAATCTCTATTTTGTGTTGTAAGTTTCATATCCCAAACAATGAATGAAGACACTTTAGAGAAATACTGAACAGCATTACTTCATTTGGCTGCTAAGATATTTTTCAATGCATCTATCTCCTTGTATCTGTCTAAATCACAAAGCATGAATTACAAGTAAATGGTAATAAAGATGTTGTGTTATTGTCATCCAAGTATTTTGCTTTGCTGATATTTTTACATTTGGCTGCTTGTTCTAACATTTGTGATTTACTCCAGCTTCAATTCATACTCACTAACTTTAGAATTCACATTGGATGGCTTTCTCATTAGAGAACATTCTAGGCAGAAATGTGATCAGAATTTACATAGGGTTTTATTCCTTTGGCTCATGAAAATACTTCTCAAATTCTGGACATGTAGCAGTTTAGATGATACGTAGCATTTTTTGCTGTATCAGAACTGTCCTTCTGCCCTTGCCCTTTATTCTTCAATGATAATAAGAAAAGATTATTAGTAAATGCTATCCTCTTTATATTTTATTAAACAGCTCCCATGCGTTACAGTAATATTAACTCTTGCTTCCTCTACCCAATGCTTCTAAACCATCAAAATTATAATTCATAACTAAATAGATGAAGATGATGATGATGATGGATTCTCTTTTACCAGTCTACATATATGAGTGCAGGGATAATATATTTGCAACCTGGTGCTCTTCAGATAGCTTGAAATAAAATTTCTATCAGCTCCAATATGGCCAGTAGTAAGAGATTAAGAACAATGATTATCTATTCTTGCAAAAATGTTTATGCCAATATTACTGCAGATAGTACCAAGTAGATTGTTTAGTGCAATGTGCTTCAGCTCCCCTTAGTTGGTTAGATTCAATCAAGACTATGTTTTCTGCAGTTCCAGCATTTATTTTATTTATCATGTTTAGAAACTGCCCATCTCCCTCACAGGGAGAAATAGAAAGATATTACAGGTTGTGAGTCGTAATTATATATTTCAACTCTAAAATAGTACTACATTTCCTATCCCTAAAATCTTGAAAAGAGCCCTCTTTTCTTTTCTTCCACCTTTCCCAGCATTATAGACTATCAAGAGATCTAGATATCCAAAATATGATTATTTGAACCTGGCCGTTTGGGTATCAAGTGAGAAGTCTGGAATGGTTTGTGTTCAATGATCCATTTGTTTGCTTCCTTGGCTATCCGTGGCATGCTCAGGAGTCTTCTCCAATACTAAAAGGATCAATTCTCTTTCTATTCTGCTTATTTAGAGTCCATAAAATAAAATAAAATAAAATAAAATAAATAAAATAAAATAAAATAAAATAAAATAAAATAAAATAAAATAAAATAAAATAATAAAATAAAATAAAATAAAATAAAATAAAATAAAATAAAATAATAAAATAAAATAAAATAAAATAAAATAAAAAAATAAAATAAAATAAAATAAAATAAAATAAAATAAAATAAAATAAAATAAAATAATAAAAGAAAAGAAAAGAAAAAGAAAAACATTGCCTACATAATTTTGATCTTTGTAAGCAGACACATCACAGCATGAGTATCTTTTCCAAGATTTCATTGCTAGTGCTAGTCTATGGTATATTCCTTGACTTTTTGTTCCTTTATTGTTAATACTAACGACAGAACAGTTCAACATAATTTTACTGTGAATTCCTAGTCTTCTTTATAATCTTAGATCCCTTTTCACTGTGCTCCTTGACTTTCATTACTAAGATTGGAAATCATTCATATTTTCAGCTATAGAGTAGTATCATCAGTGCAGCTTAGATTATTGATGTTTCCTCCTCCAGTTTTAAAAATCATGGTCATCTTTTTCCAATTCCTCAATATACATTCAGCATATCAGAATAAATCAGAAGAAAGTATAACTGGCTTAACAAACCATAGATAAACAAGCTATGGCTTAAAGTGAAGTGTCTATTTAGTTTAAGTCTTCTCTGCAGCTGCTTTGTCTCCTGCCTTTTCTTTTTAAATAATCACCAACTGCTCATTTTTCATATGACAGCCTTTTAATTATTTGAAAACTGCTAACCACATTTAATCTAAAGTATTATGAACTTGGAAAAATTGAAGGCAATAGAAAATAGAAACATTGAAGACAAAAGTACAAGACAAGATGGCTTAGAGCACTGGTGGCGAACCTATGGCACGGGTGCCAGAGGCGGCACTCAGAGCCCTCTCTGTGAGCACGCACACCATCGCCCCAGCCCCGCCTCCCCCCACGGCCCCATCCTCACTAGCAGCCCCCCCCAGAGGAGAGTCGCCCTCAAGCATGGCCCGCGCGGAGCAATGCAGCCAAGGATATGGCAGCCAGGCAGCAGGGACATGACTCCGCCCTTGCGCCCTGTTATGCGCAGTTGATGCTGCGAGGCACAGGTGGAAGGCGTGGCTGCCATAGTACTGCTGGGCCGCCTGGGTGATCTGCGGCAGGCCGTAGAGGCGGTGGATGGCCCTGTGGGTAGGGGCGGAGCTGGGGCAGAGTGAGCAGGGGCGGGGGCGGAGCAGGAGCGGGCGGGGGTGGCAGGGAGGGTCCGATTTTTGGGTACTCGGTCTCTAAAAGTTTCGCCATCACTGGCTTAGACTTTCTCAATGATATTATGACCATAAAAATCTTGGTGAACTGTTGCTCATCAGGCTACAATGAGATGGAGCAAATGAATATCAACTATCAACACTATGGACATTATGTTATGTAAACCCCAAATCCTGAGCTGAATAGCTGAATAAACTATTATTAAATTACCACAAGTATGCTTTTGTAGTTTCTTTTGTATCATATTCAAACTCACAAATTTGCCTTTCATAAACGTATAATCCCTGCAAGTAAAATTTTTAATATAAATTTCTTTGGTAACAGCCAAATTTCTAAAACTTGAGTAATGGTTTCTTCATCGACTATTTTCATTCTTTGTTTGGCTATTGTCCTTCTTTTGAAATGTCTCATTTTTTTTCAGAAACTTTATCACTGACTGACTGCTTCTCAGGGTGGACTGACAGGTTTTTGAAGACACTGATTTTAGAGCATACTCAGAATGAGTTATACTGGCACTGTAATTATACCCTTTTTTGTTAGATCTGTCTCTCACACTGCCTCACCATTTTGTAAAATAAAAACAAAACTGTTAACTTCTACAGAAAAGAAAGTGAAGTGTAGTGTGAATTGAATCTTAAGAAATGAGTACAAGAGGGAATTGAACTGTATCTTGGCGGTTCCAAGGGAATATCATAGGCAACTTTTCTGTTATGCCAAGCTTTTTCCAAACTTGAGAGCTGCTACCTTGACCCTGTCAAGTCAGAGAATCAATGCATCTAACGGTTTTGCTTCTGCAGAACTGTTTCCAATTTGAAAAATAAACACAACCTCAACTTGTGGCGACTGAAAAAAAGGAAGCACCCATTTTACAGTTCAAGAGACTCATTTTCTTATTTCAGCTGTTCTGATTATTTAATTTCACCATCCAAAATGCATTACTTTTACAGCATTTGGTTTACACAGAGATCCAGCTTGCTGCTATGGCCTGATTGAGATCAACCTCTGGATTCAGGCTTTGAGGCAAACTTAAATCATTTTCCATTTTGTCCCCCACAAAGGATTTTGACAATAAGGGCAGTTTTATAAAAGCTGGAACAGCTGAGAAAGTTAGGAGTGTGGTTTGAGACCGAGATCAACTGTTCCATTTTGAACTCCTTCAAGAAAGGGGGAAAAACTCTGGTAAAACAATACGAAAAAATAATAATGATGATCTCGTTTCGGCTTTTTGCTTGGGAAGTCATGAAGGGCTGATAGCAGAGGCTACTTCAGCAGATAGTCAACCACAGAAGCCGTTCCTGCTCCTCACAGATTTGAGGGCAGTGGCTGCCAAGTCTTAAATGTGGCTGTCAGTCAATCACAATGAAAGGGGGAAGGAAGGAGCGGTTGAGGCCGTTGGAGAAATGTCTCAAACGCGCAGCAGCCTCAACCCCTCGCTGCCCTTTCCTAAAGCGGGATGGGGGGCAGGGAGCGGCTGCAGCCGAGTACGCAGGCGTCAAAAACTCAGTTAACCTTGCGTGTAGCGAGCCAGACGCGAGAAAGTACATGAGAGCTAAAGAGCGGTGTAAGAAAGTCCATTATTCAGAACGGCGGGGGCGGGGTTGAAAGGGACGGTTCATTCTCTTCTCCATCGCTTTGGGGCCTAAATGGAGACTCCAGAGAAAGCACAACTAAATATATACAAGATTATCTCATCAATCAGAACAAGCTTTTCTTTGAAAATTGATATACAAAACAAAAGGACATTTTTGTCCAAATGGTACAATCCATCTGCACTTAACCAATCATAAAATAGTCTCTTAGGGGTATCATAAATTACCGGGTAGAACTACAACGCTAAGGCCAACGCACGCTAAAATTGTAGCTTCGAATGACATCATCCTTTGCCTGAGCGTGGAGGGGGCAGGACGGCGTCATGCCAATGAAGAAGAGATTGGCCATCGACCTTGTCAATCACAAAACTGATTTTCTTTTGAGCGACATATGCTGAGAACCAATACACTGAGGCCAGGGGCAGTGTCCTGCCCCAAAGGCGGGAAAACATGAAAGTGACAGCCAATGGAAACGTTCTAGCGAAGCGCTTAACCAATCGACTTTTCCTATTTGGAATCCTCCGATGGAGGCATCAGCCAATGAATGGAAGAGTAGCGGGGTTCTTCGTGTACTGTTGCTAAGAGAGCTTCGTATTGTATTTCCCTGCGACCAAGAAGGAAAGGCGGTGAATGTGGGGCTTTATTGTGTCCCCCACCGTGGAAATTAACAGTCTTCTTCTAGCAGGGTCTCCAGGGAATCTGTCTCTCTCTCTGTCTGTCTCTCTTTCTTTCTCCCCTCTGCATCACACCCGCCCCTCCGCTTCCATGAGAGCCTGATGTCTCTGGGCTCCATTTAATCTCTCACATCTCAGTCCCAATAAATGCACATCTCTTCCTCCAGCTTCCCCGGAGGCCCGTTTTTATGGTGAAGATCAATACAGGCCATGGTGAAACTGGCTGCCAAATGCATCGTGGTGGGTGAGTCCCCAAACTGGCCGCCACTGTTTTCAGTTGTATCTTTTTTTTTTACAGGGCCTGGATAATCCTAAATCAAGACTTGGGTCAGGAAACTCAGTTACTTCCCAGGGGTTTCCTATCTAAAATTGCACTTAAAGTGAGTTGGGTAATTTGGAAATAAGGACGAGGAATCTGCTCGATTCTCAGTAGGATGAGATTCCTCCTAACCTTAAATTTCGCAGCCAAGCTATAACGTGGCTTCTTTGGTTTGGTGTCAGGCTGGTGTATTTAGTAAACTGTTAAACTGTGCTTAGGCTTAGGAGAATTGTGAACCCAATCGCTTGCTGGTTGCTGCTTTGCAACAGTTCAGGCTGGAGTTTTTCCTGACTTACCTAGGAATGCCAGCAATCTGAAACTTTTGAGATTTTCTTCATGCAAATCACGTGTTCTACTGTTGTGCTAAAAAATTTAACCAGTGAGAATTGCTTCAAAGGCAGTTTGATGGAGCACAAATTGAATCAATTTCCTTACCTTTATAGGACAGTGTTCTTTCCCTACATGCCTATTAGCTTGAGCGTCTTTTGGCATCTCTAAATCCAGGGTTTTTCAAACTTAAGGCTGCAGAACCTGTTAGCTGAAAAATAATTTCCAGAACCCCAATAAAGACTTCCTGTTTTTTTCTATTAGTCTCTCTCAAAACCTATACAAATATTTACATTGCCAAGATCTACACTGCATTGGCACAGGGTCTGTACTGCAGTGGGTGATGAGAATCAGGGTGGACTAGAGCAGTAAGTTAAGACAGACATACCTATAGGATATGTTAATGGTGGAGAAAGGTGATAAGGGCAGCTAGGTAAATCCCTGTAGTATGACATAGACAATAGTATATTGTATAAGAAGTACCTAAACCCCAAATTATGGGCTGTATATCTGTGTTCTAAATGAGGTCTGTACCACATACAGGCCGCCAGGCGGGCAATTGCCATTTAAAAAAAAATTCACCATCACTAGGAAGAACTGCCACCCTAAAAAACACCATGCTAAGCACCTTTTTTATTATGTGTGCCTTTTTTGCCGATTTTCAGATTCATGGTATCCTTTCTGAGATGTTTGATGATTGGAAGTACATATGAAATTTCTACTGCCAAGTCATCATAGATTAAAATAGTATTCTAATGAGAGCTTTATTGTTTAATTTTGTTCCTAATTATTCCAAGCATGGAATTTGTCCCACATACCAATATTAAAGAGAATGCTGGAGGTTGGTGCATTCTGTAGCATGTCTGCTTCCTATTTAACTTCAAGCATTTTTTTTTTTAAAAAAACTAAATTAAATTCAAATCAGCCAGGAAGCCTAGAGGGTACTATATGCATACCCTTGACTCACCCTTGAATTTCTATGGGTTTAGGCTTTCCACAGAAAGCTTAGTATAGATATATATTTGTTGTTTAACATAGCCAATAATAATAAAATGGAAGAGAACTCACAATTTCTTAAGTACAAATGGCTTAATCAAAGAGCGTTTTTATCCATTTGTGATGCAGGTGATTCAACTGTGGGGAAGACAGCTTTGGTCCAGATGTTCTGCAATGATGGGGCTCATTTTCAGAAAAACTATACCCTGGTGAGCCTTATGAGAGATACTGAGGAACTAAGTATTAATTATGATCTTTAAGATCAATATTAGAACATTTTTAAAAAAATGCTAGAGCAGTTTATACCTTTATCCAACCAGTTATTTTCAGGTGGAAAATTATTCCATTCCATTTTCCACTACATACATACACATAAAAAAGGGAATGGGCATCCCTATAGTAGCCTGTTTATACAGAAGCTCAATTGGAACTGGCAGATATAATGCCGATCTGACCTTTACATGCCCATTTTCTATTTGAAATGTATTTGTGTTACTTTAGATTGTTGGCTAAATATATGTATGAACTCATCCCCAAGCAATATAGAATAAACTTTAAAGACTTTTAATAAAAAATATATTTAAATTAAGTAAATACATCATTTTTCATTCTAATTTTGTTTTTTCAGCCAAGCTCTTACTATCCAGTATTTGAGTTTCTCTGACTGAAAAATATCGAGCACTGGGTATTGTGAAGGTTCACTTGAGAGACCTAACAAGTTGTAAAGTAAACTGAATTTATTATTATTTGATATATTTTTCTGTGTTCTGAACGATAGACAATAGGAGTGGAACTATTGATGAAGACAGTACCTATTCCAGGAACAAATGATAGCGTGGTAAGATTGACTATGATTTAGATTTATATTTTTTAAAAACTCCTTGAACAGATAGTTTTCTCAGAAATATTGTTTGTGTTTTGTTAAGTTTAGCTATTTGTGTTCAGCTGCATGCGGAACGTTAATATTGCCTGTGTAGAAATAGGGATGGCACTTCATTGTCTGTGAATCTTTTAATCTGAATTTCTCCCAGATTAAAAAAAATAAAAATAGTCATAATTAGTTGCATTATTATTATTTCAAATTTATTATATCCACTCACTCCCATAAACTCTGGGTGACTTATAAATACCAAACAATAAAAGCAGTTAAAAATATACAGCACCAGTGGGACCACAAACTAAGATAATCATAACAATAACAAACCAAACCAAAACAGGCTCACAAACACATCATCCCAAGCCTAAGGCCAAAGCCAAATCTTAAAGTTGTTTCATAACCCTAGGACATACCTCTGGAAGGTGCTGTCCAAAGAGTAGGGCCATAACAAAGAAGGCATGCTTCCTTAGTCCCATAAAACAACAACATTTAATAGAGATCTGGAGCACATCCATTCTGCCAGAACATATTGGTGGTCCATAAAGATTGGAGATAGGCAGTCTCTAAGATATCCAGGCCCTAAGGTATAAAGGTCCTTATAGGTAATACCGAGCATATTAAATTGCACCTGAAATCTATTGGCAACCAATCACCATAGCAGCAGTGCTGATGGGTATCCTCAGAGGCACCCATTAATGCTTGCACTTCTGCATTTTGTACCAACTGTAATTTCCGGATGGTCTTCAGGCAATCCAAATGTACAGCTCATAACAATAATCCAGTTTTTTTGATACTATACAGGTAGACCTCAACTTACAACAGTTTGTTTAGTGACCATTCAAAGTTTCAGCAACAGTGAAAAAAGTGACTTAGGACCATTTTTCACACTTATGACGGTTCCGGCATCCCCGCAGTCACATGAATAAAATTCGGATGCTTGGAAAGTGACTCAAATTTATAACAGTTGCAGTATCCCAAGGTCATGTGATCCCCTTTTGCAACCTTCTGACAAGCAAAGTCAATAGGGAAGCCAGATTTGCTTAACAACAGTGATTCACTTAACAAAAGTGGGAAGAAAAGTCATAAAATGGGGTAAAACTCAGTTAACAAATTTCTCACTTAACATAAATTTTGAGTTCCGTTGTGGTCGAAAGTCGAGGACTACCTATATTTGCTTTATCCAGCCTTCTTTAAACACAAATTGCATTGTGTAAACTTAATAAATATTATAAATATCTTTATTTGTATGGAATGTTCAACATAGTATTTTCTTAGAAGTATTTTGAGTTTTGTATATTTTTGTTTGAGGAAAGCCAATGTTTTGAAGGTGGTATTTGTGTCATCAGAAAACCCAGTAAGAGGAAATGCATGAATATATTCGCAACACAACTTATGCGAATTTATTTTACACCTTTTGTGTCAAATTTATTTTAAGTTCCCATAGTCATTGAAAGTCTTGTATTTTTGCATCAGAAATATATAACTGTTAAATTGCCATTTGCTATTTTGTTTACAGTATGTATTAAGTTAACTGGGAATAATACCTGGACCTACTGGTTTGTGTAAAGAAAAATAGTTCAAGATCTATAGACCATTCCTTGAACTCACTCCATTGCACCTGTGTATTGTGGTGACTCAGCACCACCGGTTGGTTCTTAAGGGAAGAGGGGGCATGAGAGAAAGGCATCTTTGCAACTTAGGTATGGCCTGGAGCTATTCTGTCTATGGAGTTTGAATTTATGATCTTAACTCAATAAATTACATTTATCTTTTATGCTGCAAGCTGATTAGCCATTTGAAGAAAGAGACTTCCCCCCCCCAGCTGTATCTGAAAATTCTAGAATTCAAAAACTGTTCTGAACTATGGAATATTTTTAATTAAACAATGTATTTGTTCTCTTTTCAGGAATTCTTCTTCTTTGATTCAGCAGGCAAAGAACTCTTTTCTGAAATACTAGATAAATTGGCAAGTATAAAAATCATCATTCAACTGTCTTTTCTCCGGGAAGATCTGCTGTTTGTTTGGATACCGTGATTCTTATTTAAAATGCTTTATTTTATTTGCTTTATTTCAGTTATAGTATATGCCACCTAATTTTTAAGACTCTGCACAGTGTACACTAAAGATGATGTAAAACAAAACTTTTCACAAAATAGAAAAACATCCAGAGAAAAGAAACACCATCTCACAAATCAGACAATCTAGCAGGGGGTGCACCCACTCTACCCCAAGGCCAAGAGAAAAAGCTAGATCTTAAGGGCTTGTCTAAACAAGGTTGGGCAAACAGACATGCGACTCTCTAGGGGGAATGTCATTTCAGAGCACAGCCACAGTCACAGAGGCTCTATTTCCAGACTTCCATTCGGTGCAATTGCTTAATAGACCCTGAGTATGCCAGATCAGCAAATAGTCTCTAAAGTATCTAGTCTCTTTGCCATGAAGGGCCTTATAGGTGATAACCAGCACCTTCAATTGTACCCGGAAGCCAGCTGGGAGCCATGAAGCATTGGTGTTACATGGCAGTACTAAGTATCCCTAGAATTGCTTTTGCTGCTGCATTCTGGACCAGCTGCAGCTTCCAAATGGTCTTTAAGAGCAACCCCAGATAGAGCACACTGCAGGGCTCAAATGCAAGATGACCAAGGCTCAAGTCCATTACCAAATGAATTAGATCAGCGGTTCTCAACCTATGGGTCACGACCCCATTTGGGGTCGATTGACCATTTCACGGGGGTCACCAAGCAAGGCTGTCCGCCATTTTTCCCCCCCTTTTCCGGTGGGTGCCTTACCTCCCTTGAGCTGGGCCAGCTGGTGGTCGGCCTGCTCCGTCTCTGCCGCTTGCCAGCTACGCCTCGGCCGGCGCAGGGGGCGGAACCACGCATGCGCGGCACTCCCGGGCAGGGAAAGTCCTTGACTTACGACCGGTTGTGTAGTCCTCGACTTACGACCGGTTTAGTCCTCGACTTACGGTCGGTTTGGTCCTCGACTTACAACCAGTTTAGTCCTCGACTTATGACCGGTTGGGGTCGCGGCATTAAAAAGGTTGAGAACCACTGAATTAGATAAATCATAAGAAATTCTGCCTCAGGTTTTTTGGATCAACAGGACTCCCATCTGGCCTGTGAAACCAAGGCCATTCCCTCCCTGAAGTCCTCTTTCCCAAAGGAAAGCACTACCAGTTCCTCACGAGGGCAGTCCCCAAGCTTTTTTTCATTTGTTATTTTTCCCAGTATAAAAATGTCAAGGAATGAAAGTGGCTGTTTAGAACTGCCTTATTTGCTGAGTTTCTTAACTGAGTTCATTCACTCCTTACCTGGGTCTGCATAGAAAAAAAGTGCAGAGATGGATTATTTTAAGGCAGGGGTGTCAAACTCGTCACATGACGTGTTGCGACGTGTTGCGACTTTTCCCCCATTGTCGGAGCTGGGATGGGCACGGTTTCAGCATGACGCATCCGGCCCACGGGCCGGCAGTTTGACACCCCTGTTTTAAGGGGTGCAGCTTTGTGGAAGAAAACCATAACTCATCATTTAGGAGGTGTCCCAGAGAACAAATATGCCCCTTTAGCAAGAAAACATGCTATATGTCTTCATGCAACGGTAGCTGGTCTGATTCTTATGCTAGAAAGTACAGTTATTTTCTATACCTTAATTGTTCAGAGACCTTGAATATGTATTCTTGTTTTGCATGTTTAAAACACAGAAGTAGCTGTAACTGTTTTAATTTGTTTTTTTTAATTGACAATTCAAAGAGTAAAGTTTAATTGCAGTTAAAGGCATCATTTTCTCTTCCTTAATTTATTTCTGTTTAAAACAAATTGCTTTGTTTCCTTGGAAATGGCTGATACTCCAGACTTTAAAACAAATGTATTCTTATTATTTGGATAGATATTTAAAACTTAAAAAACATGTCCCCCTTTATAAGTAGATGATATTTCCAAATGGAATTGCCTGTGGATTTTTGTAAAAAAAAAAAAAATAGACTATTTTAAATTGGATTTTATTATGTTTCTTCTACAACAACATTTTGTCATTCTTCTTATAGAGGATGTAAGGGTGATTTATTTCAGCATAATTTATAATGTTTTCCTTTTATTATATAGTGGGAACAGCCCAATGCCCTGTGCATTGTGTACGATGTCACCAATGAGCAATCTTTCAATAACTCTGCTCAGTGGCTAGAAAGGCTGAGAATCCAAACATCAGGTATTCATATTCCAGGTAGGAAATTTTAAATGTCTTTGCATATATATTTTCTTTCTACAGCTCATACTCTTCAAATATGCTGGAAAACAGAACCTTAATTCTAAACAATTGCTTTCTTCAGTTTACTCAGCCATACAATGCAGAATTGTAAAAAATTATATTCTAGCTGATTCCTTTGTAATCCTTTTCTCTTGATAAACATCAGACTATTCTTTTTAACTTGTTAGCTTGCTTATCTGTAACAATCCAATATTTCCTTTCCTTTTTTTTTTAGCTGTCCTGGTGGGCAATAAGATTGATTTAAGTGATAGGAGAGTTGTAGAGCGCAAACAAGCACAACAGTGGGCAGAAGCAAATGGTCTGGAATACTGTGAGATATCAGTAGTGAGTATCTTTACTTTACTGGATATATGTAAATGCATTTATTTGCATTTTAAGTAAAGGCTGGATTACTTTGGTTGATTTATGCAGTAGCTTGATGAAATAACTCTACTAACCCATTTGTAATTTTTTTTCTTTTTCTCTTTACAGAAAGAGATGGAAAATTTTGAAGCTCCTTTTCACATTGTGGCAAATTCTTTCCATCGATTGTACAAAGAGAAAGTAGAAATCTTTCATTCATTGGTGTGAGGTGTCCTTAAATACAATATGGTGGATTAAAAAGAAAACACACTAATTAACAAAGGCAAAATCAGTGAAAATTGAAAGTAGATTTTTGTTGTCATTTGCTTTCCATCATAGAGAATTATAATTCTTCAACTGTAATTTCAGGTTTCATCTGCTTATTGTTTATCCTGTGATGGACCTTTTTATAAGAAACATTCTTTTTGGTTATCATTTTTTGCATGAATTCAGAGTTTAAATACTGTGAAATATTTGACAAATTTCATAAGGAGAAATCTATCAAAAATTAATAAACATGCCATTATTCTGTACATTTCAACAATACGAACAATCTATTCCTTGCAGTTAAGTTATACCAAGTAATTGTTATTCAGAAATCAACATAAAAATTATATTTTAACTTTTGTTTTCTAAAGGTAGAAATGATTAATTCTTAATCCTTAGAGCTTTTTCTTCTTCAATTTTGTTCCTGCCATCTCAAAATATCATTTGGTGGAGTTCTGTTTGGATGTTAATAGCTAAACCATTGTTATAGGTCTTTTCGTTGCCTTTTTCTAACTGCAGGGGACCAATTATTTTAATGGAAGAAAAAGGTTGAGACACCACTTTACCCAATGTCATTCTTAATACTATATTGTCCTAAAAACATGGCAGGTTAGGAGATTAATTTGGTAGGGTTTCTTCATATCTTACTTGTATTGTTCATATCATGAAAGTGTAACTGGTGGACTTTTCAATGTTTCCATCATTGGTATACAAAGAATCTGCTGGGAATAATAAAGAATGTGTTTATTTTAAACTGAAAGATTATATTGGGAAGATAATAAGCCAGGGGCTCAGAGCAGGTCGGGGCACATACAGTAGGTCCAAAATATCCTATTGTTAAAAAAATGTAATGTTTCTGCCAGCTAGAAATGGGACAGAAACCTATCATAGATTAAATTTAAAACAAAAATGATAGAAATCCACAGATATGAAATTTGATATGCCTTACTAACATAGAAAATGAGTGAACCAAAAATGAAGCCAGTGCATTGCTTGGGTAAATTTGAATTATATGAAAAAGGCAGGATTTCAAACCATCAGGTCTCCAATGCTACCAGAGGAGAAAATATTTTATTCCTGTTGCAAGAAATGGATAGGTCTTGCCTAAGTCTACTTGCTTCTAATTTACTTCAGTTTAGAATTGCTTTCCAAAACTGTTGCTCTTCTTGAACTAGCTTGCTTGCTTTTTTGCTTTTTTTCTGCTTGTGTGGCTGCTCAGTGCTCTTTGCAAAAGGTCGTCTGCCTCATTAAGAAAGCAAAATCTGCACTTTAAAGACCATATCAAATGTTTTTCAGCAAGTTTGAGTTGAATAGTTAGGTCACAAACTACACTATTCTGAGTATATTAATTTTTAATTAAATGTATCTTTCAGGTTTAAATTTGGTAACTACCCTAGGGCTGTGCACCTTTCCTGACTACCTGAATCTGTATGTATAGACGCAAAACAATTTTGAGTTACCTTTGAAATTCCTGCACAAAACCTTTGAGAGATGCAGCTTTCTTGACACTTGAGCAGTAGGTTTGATGGCACGCTTTGATTATTTCACAAAGCATCCCTCTGAGTGATTATTTCACAAAGCATCCCTTTGCACAGCCCAGCTGTACCTTCTCTATCCCTCACACACACACTTACTATTATTGCTACATATTGCTGGATACTTAGAAAAGATCAACAGGTAATAAATACATTAATTATTTCAGTATACACAGTTAGCTGTGTTCGGGTAACTCCAAAAGGAATTGCATTCCTCAAGTTACCTTTACTACCATTATTGACATTTTCATTTTCTAAGTGTACTTTGTTAAGCTGAAATAATTGGTAGAGAAAACTGCAAATTGAGAATGTTGGGCAGTTTGGCAAATGCCATATTTCCAGTCCTGCATTGGAAGTTAGAACTATCAAAGATTTTCCATTCCTAGTTTTGTTATCATGATCCTGAAGGAAGCTTTATATTTGGGGTATTCAGATATGAAGTTCTCTTAACCTTTGTGAGCTACTGTCCTATTTGCACTTGTCAGATGGCAGCATGAATGAAAAGATGTGTGATGGCGTGTGAGGTTCATTTGACAATACTGCTTCTCCAAGGAGTAAAGGAATAGTGGTCAAGTTCAAGCAAGCAGGCAGACATGGGTGGATTTGATGAATTTGTGCTTTTAAAAATCTACGCACATTTAAAGAAAAGCAGCAGATCATTTCTTAGAACTGATCTATTATGCCCACTCGTATAGTAAAATGTAGATGAATTGAATCCAAGCCATTGATAACCATTGATTGTGAATGCATAATGAGCTCAGAGGCCACATGGAACATTGCATATGGTTGATTACAGAAATAACACGATATAATAATAATAATAATAATAATAATAATAATAATAATAATAATAATAATAATATAATAATAATAATAATAATAATAATAATAATAATAATAATAAAGTTGGAAGGGATCTTGGAGGTCATCGAGTCCAACCCCCTGCTCAGGCAGGAAACCCTACACCATTTCGGACATATGGCTGTCCAATCTCTTCTTAAAAACTTCCAGTGTTGGAGCATTCACCGCTTCTGGAGGCAGGTTGTTCCATTGGTTCTATGCCTGAAGTGGCTTATTCAGAACTAAGTTATAATGGGGATAGCCCAGTCCAATTTCATACTTGGTTCTGGATTAACATTAAGAAATGCAAAATCCATAATCTAAAGTAGGAAAAACATAAACAACTGCAACTTGAAATATAATATTTGTACATAATCTAGACTTTACCAAGATTCACATCAATATGTGAACATATTTTTAGCCAACATTCTTTTAAAAATAATTTTCTTTCAAATGTCTATATTTTGTGGGGATAATTAACAAGTAAATGATGCAGCAATAATACACGTTACATTGGTACTTCAAATTTTCTTTATGCCTAATAAGCCCCCCATCCTTTTAATTAATTTCTAGCATTCCTTGCCTCTTTTAAATTTTATATACTCATTTTAATATTTTATTGTACACTGCCCAGATTTCTTCTGTGAAAAAGATACACAGCTCTTAAAGATAGATAGATAGATAGATAGATAGATAGATAGATAGATAGATAGATAGATAGATAGATAGATAGATAGATAGATAGATAGATAGATAGATAGATAGATAGATAGATAGATGTGTCAAAGGGGCAGATTAAGCTCGGCTTTAGTGGGAGAGTGTTAATGCAAAAAGCTGAATCTCTAAAATAAGCTCTTTCTATTCTCCATATTCTCATGGTTGAAGATCTAAGAACGGTTTTCTTAGGCAACAATTGAACCACAGCAGCTTATACTGCTGTTGTTAGTTGATAATGTTTGAATTCAACCTAGTACTGAGTAGTGTTCAGAGGTAATCATGATGATTTTTAAGATTAATAGCGGCCCTTCAAGTTAGACCAGATCAAGAGGCAAGACATTGCAATGGCTAGTGAAGCTCTATTTTTTAGGATATAATAACCAAATATTTCTCCCTCTATCAAAGAGAATCAAAATGAGATAGTCTTGAATTTATTTTTTTCACTCCTCTTCCTCCTCTCTTTCTTTCTCTCGTTGATGTTTATGTAATCATTCTTGCAATGCTCCTTCAACATCTTCATACTACACTACATGGTGTGGCTTTCATTCCTTACGGATAGGAAAAATAGCTAAACAGAAGTGACAGCTAGCAGAAGAGAAGGGATAGAGAGCACATAGTTAAAGAAGACTTCATGTGAGCGGGCTACTTTCTATAAGCTTGTTTTTCTTCGCTAAGCTGAAATAATACTAATTATGTCTTGGCTCAGGTTTGTTACTTACGAATGTCATCAATGTGGAAAATATTACAAATTTTAGCACTGGCCGTGAGCCTTTTGCCCTGTTTGTAAAACCCATCATATCTCTCTCAATGTTATCCTGTTTTTAACTGACCAAGAATATTTTTATATGAAATCCTAGATAGAGTCTACACCTTTTTCCAGCCATTGGTATGTTTCAATTGATATTGATACCTAAGATTATTATTTACTTCACAGTGCTAGAAAAGGATTGAAATTTAATTATCAGTATTAATATGAGTTTAAAAATGAATTTTGAATTAGGGTTATCCTAAGCAGGCATCCCCTTCATTTTCCTAGCAAGACTGCTTTCATTTATTTTACCATCTGCTTTTCAGTGCTGGAGATGATGCTGGAGATATGTGACTTGGGGCACTCAGGCGGAAATTGGCCTGCACAAGGCCGGGCATGTGTTTGTCTCCTAGCAATGCAGCGGTCAGCAACAAAAAATTTTGCTGCCATATCAGAGAGCAAGGGCTTGGAAATATTTGAGATGCAGGAAGATGGGCTGTAGGAAGGCAAGATTTGGGGAGGGTCAGAGGAGACAAGCAACTGTGGTATGAAGGCAGACTGATAGGCTACTTATAGATGTAATAAAATAGAGATTAAATAACCAGATCATTTAAAGATACCGAGATATTAGAAGACAGGGATATGCAGACTTGGTAGTTGCTGACAAAATGACTTCATTTTTCCCTCTAGCAATGAGAAAATAGGAACAGCATGAATCAAGATTGATGGTTGGAAATGCCACAACAAAGCAAGAACAATTCTACCATGTGTGGCAGTTATGTTAAAAACCTCAAAGGTACCATAAAGAAATAATCAACATATTCAAAAAATCCCAAACAATACATTTCAAATTGCAGCCACATATATTTTTATTGGGTATGATTCTAGAAACCCCCCAAAAATATCACAGCTTGCTAAGTTATTTGTTAACAATTGCAAAAGTAAGCTTATCACAACACTGGAAAAGAGAAACCTTGATGATGTCAGATTGGGAGACTAAAATTGGAGCATAAGCTGCAATGGCAAAATGGACAGTATATCTGGGTCAACTACTACTACATGACCCAGAGAATGGGGTGTTTGTCTTTAAAATTTCTGTATTATATGATGGTATTTTGTGCAAATGGTTCTTGTGGCTGTAATGTCTGTCATATTTTCACATTCTTCTGAAGTAAGGGTACCACCAGGAAAGCCTCCAGAGGTGTATAATGCACAAATATATGGAATGGTTACCAGGCGTAGGGTGGTATCAGCAGGACCCCCTTTGTTAACATCTTTTCACCATAATGTAGGGACCCCACCATCTTCCCAAGCAATTGGAGCTTCATCAACAGGAATCAAATCAGTTTATTACAGCCATATGGCCAGAAACAGTAAAATATCCAATTGTAGGCTACTTACATACATATATATATGGAATGAGCATGCTTGGATGGA